TGCAACTTAGTGTAAAATTTTACGAGTCTAGAGGATTCGTACAAAGCCTAATAAAGTTAAAGCATGACTGCCAAATTTTTTAAAAAAAAAAAAAAAAAAAAAAAGATAAATAAAGAATTTAGCTGCAGTTTCTTTTTTATGGACGTTTAACTTTGAACAAAGTTTTCTTGATAACTACCTATCCAAATTCAATAAAAATTTTTTTATTATAATTCTATGAGCTTATAAAATTAATATAAAGGATTTTTTTATCAAATTTAAATAGGTATTATCAAAAAAACTTCGTTCAAATTTAAATGTCTATGAAAAAGAAGCTGCAGCTAAATTTTTTATTTATCTTTAGATGAAGATTTTTTGAGAACCACCTAACCAAATTGGATGAATTTTTTTTATTTTAATTCTACACAATTGCAGCATTAAAATAAAAGGTTTCATTCAATTTGATTAGGTTGGTTGTCGAGAAATATTCAAGTTAAGTTTAAAAAATAAAAATTTTCCTGATTTTTTTTATTTTCTCTTAATATATTTTAATTTTTAAAACTTTAAGCGAAGTTTCTCTATAACTACTAAGGCAAATTTATAATTTTTTTTATTCTAATTCTATAAGGCTTTAGAATTAAAATAAAAAATTCTGTCAAATTTAATTAGAAGGCTGTTGAGAAATCTTCACTAATTGTTAAACTACCCTAGTAAAAAAAATGTAATTGACAAAAATTGGCCAATAAAATTACAGTATTAATTCTTATAGTTACTTATCATTTCATTGTAATTTAGAGTCTATTCACAGATAATGATTTAATGTTTCTAATTTTGAGTCTATTTGCAGATAATGATACAATTTCGAGTCTATTTACAGACAATGATGTAATGTTTCATTGTAATTTGCATAACTCAATAAATAGATGTTCAATTAAATATATGATCAAAATTTTCTTACTTTATTTTCTTGAGCAAACATATATCTAATACTTTAATAATATCATTGTATTGTTATATAGCATAAAAAGAGAAAGTTAACATCGTTGTATTGCTGTGTTGTAAGGTGTTGGTGTAGGTAAAGTTGCCGTGTTGTAAGGTGTTGTGTGTAGGTGAAGTTGTTGTGCAAAGGTGAAATGTGGTGTGTTGTTGTGTAAAGTGTTGTGTGTAGATTTGCTGTGTGAAGTGTCATGTAGAGAAAGAGAAAGTTAATACTAGAAAGGGTTAGATATAAAAAAAAGAATACAATTGAAAAATAATTAACATGTGAGTAAAAAATCAATCTTTAAACAATTTTTAATAAAATATTAATTGACTTACACTATTCATTTATTTAAAGACATAATGAATAACAGTACTATTGAACAAATTTTTTGTTCTAGATGTAAAGTCGATAAAGATAAATTGGAGTTTGAAAATTCAAAACCTAACCAAAAATCTGGCACTTGTGATGCATGTCAAGTTCAATCAAAGCAATATAGAGAAAATATTAAATTATTGAACAAGAATGAAATACTGAATGAAATATTGGATCCAAATAATCTTGCAGACTATATTCATGAGCTTTTTGATTCGTATATAATAGAAAATAATGAAGAAAATAATTAATTAGGCTTTCATTTTTCATGTACTGTTGATATTTCTTCTTATATTGAATCTTCGAAAGAAATTAAAGAAATTGCCAATAATTTGATAAATATTGTTAGCGATGTTGATGAATACTCTTGGATGTAATAATTATATAAATTATTTTGTTATTTTAATAAAAGTTATTACATGTTTTAGTAATAATATTTTATTATTATTAGATATAACAACAAATACGATGGTAAACAAGCTACAAGTATCTGGTATTTTTGTTTCTAACGAATAAATATGGCAAAAAAGCCTCGTAAACATAATAATTCAAAAAACAAAGAGATTATACAACAATGGAGCGATATGATTGTAATGGTTGTATTAAAGTAAGCATTAATTTAGCAATTCAGATTGCTAATATTATAGTTGAGCATAATATTTTACATCTGAAGCCAAATAATGTAATGGTACTAGAAGATATTAAAGAATACATTAAAAACAATATCGATTTATTATCACAAGAAATTTATGCTCGCTTGATTAATAAGGGTATGGATATATCAATTGTGCAGAAACAAATCTATTATTGGTGGGCAACTTTTGGAAGTAATAGATATATTAGGCATAATGATACTTTTAAATCTGCTTTAATATGGATTGAAGAAGAGCATTATAAAATTATTGTAAATACAACAACACCTGTTCGAGCAATTGGATTTTTAACAAGTTTTCTTGATTATTTTAAACAATTAAATATTGACATACACGAATGTGGAATTGATTCAACATGTATTTATAACTCATCTATTTTATTTTATTTTATTTATATATATATATATACTTACATATATATATTTCATTTTTTTATTTATATATAGACAATACAAACAATTTAGGATTCGAATTATTTGTATTACATGTAGAGGTTGATAGTTCAGGTTATCCGATTGCATATTTGTTTTTAGAAGGTAATAGCAAATCAGGAAATAGAATACGAACTAAAATTATTTTAAGCTTTCTTAATGAAATTAAGTTACAAGGTATAATGCCAGAGTTTGTATTATCTGACAAAGATTTCGCACAAATTTCTGGAATACGTTTTACCTGGTCAGATGCTAAGATTCAGTTGTGTCACTGGCATGTAAAAAAAGCAATTGATGCACGATTAGTTTTCCATTAAAAATTACTTATAAGCATAGTAATAGTCATGAGTATTTCTCTTTTGTTGATAAAAATTTTGTTTCACAACTACCAGTTCAAAAAGGTACAATTTTTTGCCCAAAAGAATTATATATATTAGTTTGGAAATTAATGGATAAGCATTTACATCTACATCCATTAATACCAACTTCTTCTAATTTGGTATTAACATGCTTGCAAATTTGGGAACAAGCAGTAAAAGAAATTTATTTTTTTTGCAAAAATAATTCATTACCTTTTCTTTGGACCTATCTTTGGAAAGAGTGGTATGGTGCAGATCGATGGTTTTTATGGATGAGAGCAGGTTGTGAAAACAAGATTTCAGTATTAAAAACTATAATGTTTATCGAGTCACATTGGAAAGTAATTAAGCGAGATTTTCTTTATAAATTTTTTCATCCAAGACTTGATCTAGTTACTTACATTCTTATGAAAAAAGTAATTGTATACCAAAGGCGTAAATTTGATCAAATTAGACTTGGACAAGAAAAAGAAGATTGGCAAAAAGCAATGAAATCAGAATAGAAACAATTGGCAAACAAGATTGTTAATGAGAATAGTTATATAACTAATATGGAATATTGGGTTTGTAGCTGTACATATTATCTCACAAACCAGTTCTTTATCTGCAAACATCTTGTTGAAAAAAAAGGATCTGTATTTTCTCAATTTTTTAATTATGTTAAGCGGAATAATTGTTATCCTTTTTTAATTGAAACTTCAACAATTAATATAAATAACGATAATTATACTGAGGACAATGATAATAGTCAAATTAATTGTATAATCGAATCAAAAACTCAAGACATCAATTCAATAAGTGTCAATGATCAACTTAGATAATAATCAGTTTAAAGAAGATTCAGATGTTTTTTTTGATCGATTAATTAATACAACAAAAAAAGCACTTGATCTTTTATATGAACATAAAAACACAAAGAATATTAAGTGGGGTAAAAGTATAAAAAAAAACTTCCAGTCAATTAATACAATAGTAGAACAGATTGAGACCTATCGTAAAAGAAGAACTATGCCAAAGACTTGGAAGGAGCATACTTACAACACTCTTTTTTTTAAATTAGTTAAAGTATGTAAAATTACAATATATACTTTCTTAATTTTTTAATTAATGCTAATAAAAAAAAAACTTTTTTTTTAGCATAGTAAATAACGGCATTAACTGTTGAGTAAAAAAATTTCTTACTATTTTACTATATCGATATATTAAATATATTACATGCTAGCTAAGAAAAAAACTAACTCTTTTTAGATAATATGATTGCAATTTAGTAGTAGCAATGAAATTTAAGAATTAAAAAATATTGATTATTGTTGCAACAGAATTATTATACTTGAATTAAGTACAAATAAAATATATATATGCTAGTGCTAGTATAATTTGACAACCAATGATATTTATTAAATTTTATATGTAGTTGCTAAATCTTCAGTTATTTATAAAAAAAAAAATAACTGAAACACATCAAGTTAGCATTTTAATAAATGTTTAAATTTGTCAACATACGGTTAACTAGAAATTTAGATTAAGATAAATAAAAAATTTAGCCGCAGCTTCTTTTTCATGGACATTTGAAGTTTTCTTGATAACACCTATTTAAATTTGATAAAAAAATCCTTTATATTGATTCTATAAGCTCATAGAATTGCAAATCCATCCTTTTTGATTCATGGGGTCCATTTTTTTGATTCATTAGGTGATCGACAAAAAAGGCTATTTTTTTATAAGCGTATGCCGATCTTCACATGATACAATAACGCATATCGATATTATGTGAATTTACACATTCGATTTTATTGTCGTTAACCAATCAAATTATTAGATTGAACTTTAATCAATTGTAGTATAAAAGGAAAAAAAAAGCATAATTAGTATAGAAATCAGTTCTTTTTCTCCAACAATAATAAGAAAAAAAAACCTCATATAACGTAAGAAGCAGTTTGTTGAGTAGAGATAAAGGTGTCGTCACATTAAGTGGAGATTAAGGAGGAGTTGGAAGATTTGGAGGTTGAGGTGTTGTAACTGGATATGTTGAGTGAAGAACGGTAGAGTAGAGACAAGAGAGGAGTAAGAGATAGAAAGGTGTCGTTAGCACGTTGATTTAAAATAAAAAAAGGTGCCACCAGTGCATTTAATTGAATTAAATTAAAAAAAAAGGTATTATTAGTAATTTACTTAAAGCTATGTGCGTTAAATAAGGGAAATCTGAAACTTACAAATACTTTGTTGTAGGCTAGACGAAATAAAAGGTGCCACCGGTTCATTAAATTAAATAAATAAATAAAAAGGTATCGTTAAAATATACTTAAAGCTATGTACATTAAATCGGAAAAATCCGAAACTTACCAATACTTTGTTATAGGGAAGACGAAATAAAAGGTGCTACCAGTACGTTAAAATAAATTAAAAAAAGGTATCATTTGTAATTTGCTTAAAGCTATATGTATTAAATTAGAGAATTCTGAAACTTACCAATATTCTTTTATAGGGAAGACAAAATACATTATTGTATATACCTACGACTATATAACTGAATATGGCGATGCATATGTTACATCAGATGAATACAGATGGAAGTATTGGTTTACTATTTGGACGTGCTGCTGAGACATATATCTTATCATTACCAATTGTAAAAGATATACGTTTCAAATGTCAAAGCCGACAAAAAGTAAATCAAGCGATTCAAAAAAACTTGTTATTTTTAAACGCGAAGAAGGTGCAATTGACTTTAAAGGCTAGACAACGATTAATGGCATGACAAAATTAACAAATCGCTTGGATGACAGACTTGAACTAACAGAAAAGGGACAGAGCTATGTTATTCAAATTTGGCAAGGTTTAGTTCCGGATCTCTGTATTTGGCATTGGGTTTTTTACTGTGCAGGTGATGGGAATTGTCAGAGAATATGTGGTGAATTCAGTTAATTGTTCAAATTATCAAATGAAAAACAATTTAAAAAATAGCAATGATATGCACAAGTGCAAAGTTCGCATAACTACCAAAGTTATGCTTAGTATGGTTGCAGAAAGATTTCCCATTAAATTATATATCGAAGGTCAGCATATTCCTACCAACATTTCTATTCAATATGAATTGGCTATTACACGTTTAAATCTCAGTAGAACTGTAAGGGATCAGGTAATTTTAAGTTGACGTGCAGATGGATGTACAGCTAAAGAAGTGAAGCTCAAACTATTAACTCCATTTAATGGTGCATCAAAAGAACAATTGGAGCAACAAGAAAAATGTAGAGTTAATATATGTAGTGAACAAAAAATTCAACAGTTGATAGAACGAAATAGTCGATATAGTTGTGATATAGGTCTGTGGGCAATTTTACATGGTTTAGTTATGAATGAATTGAAGGAAAAGAGATTCGTTCTTTATTATCAACAAGAGGATCAAAACTTTTCTTTAAATTCTCCAGAACACTATTATCAACTTACTGTAAGTGATAATATGTGGCTTGAACAAGCAAGAGATTATGGCCCATTTTGTTTTGGCATCAATGCAAAGTATGATCTAAACAATAATCGAGCACCTATTCATACTCTTGTAGTAGAAGATGGAGGAAATTGGGGCACACCTATAGGATTTGCATTATCTAACAAAGAGAATATGCATACAATAAGGCTCACGGTTGAAGCAATAAGAGCAAATATACCTTGTAAAAATATAAATTGTGACCATCCATATGAATATATTGCACTATCTAATAATAAAGGCTTTAAACATATATGGCTATGTGCAATTGAATGGAAACCTTTCACAATGATGGACAAACACAAACCAACAAAGGCTGCATTAAAGCCTATTCTTCGAGGTACAATACTCTGTTAGTTTCATATAATGCAAACTTTTAGAAATCATTTTCGAACACAAAAAATTGATTGGAGCTTACGGTAATGCATAGTATTCATGAATCTTTTACATATTTTTTATATTAATTGTAGCATCTTATGCCAAAATTGGATTATGATGAAATGTTAAACGTATATTAATAATATTATTTATATATATTATATTATTTATGCAGATACCCGATAGCATTAGCATTCAAAATTATTGACAGATGCAGAAGTGTAACCGAAGCCAAAAAAATGGCGATCAAATATAAAAATTTTATAAATTTACTTCCAATTTCCACCCAAGCAAAAGCATTTTTTATACATGATCTTGAGGAAAATTTGCTCTATAAAGAGTAGATTCTTGGTTTCATTAATGGCAGACGCTTACCTAGTCAGGAAGATGGACCTCACGCAAAGCTGTGGACTACTAATAATTTTACTAAAAGGATGAATAGAACTATTGAAGAAAGATATTCAGTTACCTAAATGGTGTTGACTTTCAAATATCTTTATGGTATCAGGGTTTCTCGCTCAAACTTTATGAAGAATTGTGGTCAGTTGGTTTTTAGTGCAGGGCTTGTTGCATACTGGAATTCACGCACTATTGAGCACCAAAATGGGCTATGCAAATTGCAATCTGATATAGTACGTCGCATAATTTAGGGAAATTGAAAGTATTACAGAATAACATTCTTGAAGTTTTAGACAACTCAGACTTTTTATATGTGCATATGAATAATTACAAGCAAAATACTTTTCGATCTCCGTATACGGCAGATAAGATCAGGTTTGAAGATAGCGAAGCTCAAGGAGTGTCTAAGATGATTAAAAAGCTTGCAGAAAAGCTCATGGTTCCAATACTTCCTGATTATTACCTAGTTAATTATATTACAGGCGAATGTATCTGTCTTGATTTCATTTGGCATGGATCATTTCGTAATTGTTGTAAACATGGACATGTAGCACGTATCTATGTATCTATAAAGGCAAATGAAAATTCAATTGATCAAATAAAAAGAGAACTTATTCAATATTTTCGAAATAAGGAACGAGTAATAGCGTCTAATATAAAAAATAAAATAATATATACTGGTTCTAATGAAGAAGCTTATGCAGAGATTTTATGTCAGCATAAAGCCAAGGGAGATGCTATTTTTTTTTCAATTGAAAAGCAAATTATTGAAAACGATCCATTTAGGCCAAGTGAGCTCCCGAAGACAAGGCATACTACTTCAATAATTAATAGTGTAACGCCTCACAAATTTGATAATAGACATAATATTGGAGTAGAAGATCAAAAGACTACTGGAAATGAAGTAAATAGACAAGTCATACGTATAACTTTACTCTGTGCAATATGTAATATTTTTTTAAATTAAATTAATCAATATCTTTCTAATTGATAATTTTAAATTTATTTTACAGCATTTAAATAGTATGGCACATTCACTAAATGAGAATATTGATTCATTTACTCTAAATGATAATTAAATCAATCACGATAATTCAAGCAATCCGCATATTTCAATCTGTGATTATCACGATCAAGAAACAATAATTGCACAAAATACTGATAGTCCAGAACTTCGATTTAATCAGCCCAAATCAAATAATGTAAGCATAGTTTATTTATTGTATATTTGAAGTAATAAAGTCTAGATTATATATTAACTTACCATTAAATGGCTAAGCCATTGGTCCCTATTGTAGAGAACAAGAATATTCTGTATTCTATTGAAAAACGTCAATCCAAAAGAATACGAAATAATAAGCATAAAGATGTAAGTAAATTTAATATATAGTAATATGAAAAATATTTTATTGTTAATTATCTTCTTTCAGTCAAATTTGAATGAAAAGAGTGGTGAAAATGGTCCACCATCTCGAAGAAGAAAAATCGAAAATTCTGCTCTGAAGGATCTTTTCAATGAACAAGAAATTAACTGGAATCGAAAGGAATTTGTTAAAGTATGTCAATCTCGAAGTATCTGCCTTGATGACGATGATATTGCCAATACAACCAAGTTAATTAGCTGGTTTGATCGTAAAAAAAACAAACCTAAGTCTTTAGCAGTATTAGATTAAAGAATTGGCTTTGTAATTAATGAATATGCAATAAATAAATATATTATATATGTAATAAATAGGCATATATGCAATAAACAAGCAATTTACAGTATTTGATTTTGTGTTTTATTAATTAATATACAATATTAAACTAATAACATACTATTTCGAGTAAAATTGTAAAATTGTATACAATTGAAAAAAGAATTCTTCTGAATTTAATTTAATGCACTGGTAGTAAGTACCTTTTATTTCGTCTTCCCTATAAAAGAGTATTGGTAAGTTTCAGAATTCTCTAATTTAACACACATAGCTTTAAGCAGATTACAAACGATACCTTTTTTTATTTATTTATTTAATTTAACACACTGATAGCACCTTTTATTTCGTCTTCCCTATAACAAAGTATTGGTAAGTTTCAGATTTCTCTGATTTAATGCATATAGCTTTTAAGTATATTACAAACGATACCTTTCTTTATTTATTTATTTAATTTAACACACTGGTAGCACCTTTTATTTCGTCTTCTCTATAAAAGAGTATTGGTAAGTTTCAAATTTCTCTAATTTAATACACATAGCTTGAAGCAGATTACAATACCTTTTTTTTTTTATTTATTTAATTCAATGCACTGGTAGTATTTCGTCTTCCCTATAAAAGAGTATTGGTAAGTTTCAGTTTTCTCTAATTTAATGCACATAGCTTTAAGTATATTACTAACGATACCTTTTTTATTTATTTATTTAATCTAATGAACCGACAGCACCTTTTATTTCATCTGGCCTATAGCAAAATATTTGTAAGTTTCAAGATTTCTCTTATTAAATGCACATAGCTTTAAGTAAATTACTAATGATACCTTTTTTTTAATTTAATTCAATTCATTACACTGGCGGCGCCTTTTTTTATTTTAAAACAACGTGCTAATGATACCTTTCTATCTCTTCTCAACACATCCGGTTACAACACCTACAACCACACAACACCTCAACCTCCAACTCCTCAATCTCCACTTAATGCGACGACACCTTCTCAACAAACTGCTGCTTACATTTCTTTATATGAAAGGTTTTTTTTTTTTCTTATTTTCATTGGGAGAAAAACGTTTTTTTTTCCTTTTATACTACAATTGATTAAAGTTTGATCTAATAATTTGATTGGTTAACGATAATAAAATCGAATGTGTAAGTTCATGTAATATCGATATGCGTAACTGGCACAGCAAATGAGCGACACTAAAAATTAAAGTTTCTTTAAACATTAAACGAAGGTATCTTAACAACCATCTAAACAAATTTAATATGTTTTTTTATTTTAATTCTACAGGCTTGTATAATTAAAATAATAAAAAAGCTCATTGAGTTTGCTTAGATGGTTGCCGAGGTATATTCGTTTAAAGTTGGGTAAAGGATTAAAACTTCGAAATTTTTAAGACTTTGAACAAAGATATCTCGACAACCATTAAGGCAAATTCGGTAAACCTTTTTTATTTTAAT